AAAATAGCATTTGAAAAAGCTAAATCCATGATTGCTAATGCTACCATGCTTCAACACCTAAATACTGACCCCACAACACTGTTGATCCTATGCACGGATGCTTCACAAAAAGCCGTCGGGGCAGTATTACAACAGCGGGTAAACAACACTATCACCCCCATTGCCTTTTTCTCCAAGAGATTATCGCCAGCACAAGAACGTTATAGTACTTTTGGACGCGAACTCTTAGCTATGTATTTAGCAGTAAAACATTTCAACTTTTTGCTACAGGGTCGTGATTTCATCATTATGACAGATCACAAACCTCTTTGCCATTCTTTTAGCACATCGTATGACAAACACTCCCCACGAGAAGCAAGACAACTTGATTATATCTCCCAATTTACCACAGACATCAGGTTTATCAAAGGTCACATGAACATTGTTGCAGATGCACTATCTAGGAGGGATATCAATACGATGGTACTCAATCATGACATCAGCCTTGAAACCTTAGCTAAATTACAAGCAGACGATGCAGAATTGAAAGCCTGCAAAGAAAAGTCTAGCTTAGATCTCAAACCTGTACCGATTCCTCTTTCAGATACATTTATCATGTGCGACACTTCAACAGGCAACAATCGTCCGTTTGTCCCACACGCTTGCCGACGAAAAATATTTCAGCATTTACATGGTCTTTCACATCCAGGCATCAGAGCAACAACAAAGCTCATTACCGAACGTTTTGTATGGCCTAAAATCAACTCGGATGTTAAACGATGGACACGTAGTTGCCTCCAGTGCCAACGCAGTAAGACGCAAAAACACATCTACAGTCCAATTGGGAAGTTACCTATCCCTGACAAACGCTTTCAGCATGTGCATTTAGATTTAGTTGGGCCTCTGCCACCATCAAACTCTTTCACACATATCCTCACCGCAATAGATAGGTTCACAAGATGGGCCATAGCATGCCCCATTAAAGACACATCAGCAGAAACAGTCGCTTCAGTTTTCCTCGACCGCTGGATATCCAACTTTGGTGTACCATCAACAATCACAACAGATCGCGGTCCCCAATTCCAATCCGTCCTATTTCACGAGTTCACTAAACTTCTTGGAGTAAATCATGTTAAAACGACAGCTTATCATCCGGCAGCTAATGGCATGGTCGAAAGATTCCATCGCCAATTAAAAAGCTCTCTGATGGCACAATCGGACTCTTCAAAATGGAGCGATGCCTTACCGCTCGTTCTCCCTGGGATTCGCTCGTCAGTGAAGGAAGACATCGGATGCACGGCCGCTGAACTAGTCTATGGCACGACATTAACGTTACCAGGACAACTGGTCAAGAATGAACCCACAACGCCAGGAGACCCTACTCGTTTTGTAAGCAGATTACTACAAATGATGCAGAACATCAAAGCAATACCACCTAGAGAACACAACAACCGAGTCCATCTCGATAAACATTTAGAAACGTGCAAATTTGTTTTTGTTCGAGTAGACGCGGTAAAAAAGCCACTGACACCACCGTATGAAGGCCCTTATAAAGTAATAAAACGCACTCACAAATATTTCATTATCAATAAAAATGGGAACAAGGAGACAATTTCCATTGACCGAATTAAACCAGCTTTCTACGAAGTCCCTCAAGCCACAGAAGACAATGCTGCGAACAAACAATCACTCCCATCAATTGCTAAGAAACAAGAGGAAGAGGAAAAACTTAGCACTACACCCTCTTGTTTAACACGATCTGGGAGACTTATAAAAAAACCAAGGCGTTATGTACATTTTGCCATATAAAAAAAACAAATAAAACAATCAAAGCAAACAATTATCGAGGACCTACACTATTAATCCCATCTAAAAAAATTTTTTTCTTTTCACAGTGTTCATAATTAATCACATTTTTTCTACAATTATTCGTTTTGTCACATTTAAAAAAAAAATTGTAACAATAATAAACGGGTAAACTCTTTTTAATTATTTATTCATTATACACAAAAATAAACAGCTCAATTTTTTTTGTGTGTGTGTGGGTTATTAAAAGTTTTACACATTATCCTTGTTAGCCAAACAAGACATTAAATGACAGTATTTCCTTTTTTTTTGTATTCGTTATGCTATGCTACATTATTGCTATTCTCAAACGACAACACACTCCATCTTATTCATGTTTATGTCATATCCATCTCTACAACTTTTGTTGGTTATAACTGTGAATATTATTTTTGTATATACACATATATCATATTCTTACATTTTTTTTATTATAACCAGTGTTACCTCCGGACACTCTGGGGGGAGCTATGTGGAGATAGGTCTGACAAGCTTATCTTGTAAATAGTTTTTAATATTTGTATTTGTCAATTTCTCACTGAATGTACATTTATCATTAAATGATTGTACCTGTTGTTTAAGTAAATGACCTTGAAGACTTTTTCCGTTGTGTTACTAACATAGCGTGACATACTTTTGGTGGTTCGCAAATACACTACTACGCACATACGCATTGTTCTATTCTCGCTCGTTACCGCGTCAATTGCTTTCTAAACTGGATATTATCCTCATTTTAGACTGCTGTGTCATTTCCATCATATCCTACGTCAGAGAAACTTATTGCCGTCATATTTACCCCTGTGGAATTATTACGCATTTATAATTGTGGATTTATGGGACCAAAACTCAACGGAATACGCAACCACTAGCCGATTTAAGTAACGTCCCTGAACTTTTAATTTGTGTTGTTAATTTATAACTATTATTGTTACATTAATTTTGGACGTAATAACTTTATCACTGATTTTTGGTTATTATACTTTTTGGTCCACCACAGGCGTCTTAGAGGTGACCTTCTGATGGCTTACAGTATCCTTAACACTTCTGGACATCCACCTAAACACCTACTTAGCCAAACAATTATGTCAGTTACTTTAAAATTGATATGGAGAAACAATAGATATAGAACATAAATGCGATTACATTTGAATTGTAACAAATAGGTAAAAATGTGGTCTTCATTTTGTTGTTAAAAGATCAGTGAATATACGTGTCACAGATTATTCTAGCCAGTATAGCCCGATGGGTTCATCATGATAGGTAAGTCCGACCACTACGTCAAGGTAGCAGCAACATTTGGGCTCTAAGTATCTGGCTTGACGAAGGACATGAGTTGCGCAAGTGAAATTTACCGCGGGATAAACATTCACCAAATATGTGCTCACCTATACAACCTGCTTTGAAATTCTTTGTTGGATCATTTTTTATATCTCCAAGAGAATGGGAATCATTAATAAAGAAACGCGATCTTGAGCGATCCTGAGAATGTGGTTCATCACGACGACTAAGCACATTACTAGAAATCTTCACAGACTGGGAATCAAGTTCATTCTCTGCCCCATAGTTAACACATAGTGTTTCAATTTCTTGGATTGAGCTTTTGGATTTCTGAATTAGTCCTCTTTCTAAATTTAGAATATTTATCAAAAAAATAAATCAAGCGATCACGAAGTTGAATTGTCAATTGGCCTTCAGAATCGCATTTCACGGGCCTTTCCTGTAGTCCAAGTATAAAGTCTTGATTTTTCTGATCATTTTTTGAAACTTTTACTCCTCTCTGTATTCAAAGCTAACAAATTGTACATGAATACATGGTCATCAAAGGCATTCAACTGTCCAACATTTGACTACAATACGACTCCAGTATCATGATAAAAAGTATTCCAATAAATGTGCCGAAAATATCCGATATAGTGCAATTCAAAGCAGGCCGAATTAGGTGCGCAAAAATGAACGAATATTACGGGAAAAACGTCAGACTCTTCCGATTTACGTACGATCACATTTAGAATATGGGATTCAAGCAGCGAGTCCTTGTTTCAAGTATGAACCAGATATGCTGGAAAGAGTCCAACGACGGGGTACTGAGACGGTAAAAGGTTTATCTGGCCTATCTTATGAAGACAGACTGAGACACCTTAACTTATTTCCGTTATCTTAACGTAGAATATGAAGTGATTGTAGGATCCAAACTACGGTTTGGATGTTGAAGAATAGCCGACAGGGGATTTTAGACACGCGCCCTTTCCCGTCGAAATCAGAACAAGTAATCGGGTAACTAGCGGTTCTATAATTCATAATAAATTTAATGTAAATCATTACCTAAACAAATATTATCACCCGGCTATTCAACCAATGATTGTTCAATCAATTAAATCTAAATTACAATAAATAAAGAAGTTGATAGAAGATGCAAGAAAATTACCAATCACCACAAATAAATGTTATTCTATCCTGTCTGGATAGATCACGTACAGATTCGTTCAAAAGGTAATAATTGGTCGCTCTATAACACAGAGTGTTTTCAATTCTGGAAGAGTGCTTCAATTCACAACCAAAATGCACAATTCCAGTCAACACAGGTCAAGCAATCAAAAGCAGGGATAAACCAAAATGGCTGCCGCCCAGACTTAGTATAAAGTAAAACAACATAAGTGCAGTTCGGGAAGAAACATGGGGAATTGGTGAAGGTGTAGTAAAAACGAAACTATAATAACATACAAATATTAACAATTCAAATGTAGTCAAAAAGTTAACAATGTACAACTAAAAGAATCAATAGGAACAAGGTGTAAGTATATACATGGAGGGATTTTCACCAACACATAAAACCTTCAAAATGGATCTTACAGTGATCTAATATTGACTTATCGTATACTGAACGATGACCGTGGTATTAACAAGTCTTATCTTTGCTTCCGTCTAAGACTGATCATTTGAGAGGACATTCGAAGAAAGTTCAAAAACTGAAATAAAATCGTTTACGTCTTGAGTTTCGTTTCTCGCAGAGTGGTAAATTACTGGAATTCTCTACCGGAACACGTAATATCAGCACCTTCTGTTGATATATTCAAAACGAGATTGAACCTACACAGTTTTACAAACTGCAAGGTTAGGCAACCATATGACAAATTTGCCGTTTTCAGAATAGGTCTATTATCAAAGTAGTATTAGTACCGAACTAGACAACAATTATAAATACTAACAGGATTTACAATACAAAAGGCTGAGTATAGTTGTTATATTTATATTTAAATAATTCATTAAATGAAGGAATGTGGCAGTAGTCAACATAAAACAGTTGTCGTCAACTTGTAAATTTTTTCTACACATAATCTTTCATATTCAGAAACTCGCTAAGTTGTTCACTGGCATGGACATGATTATTAGGAAGGTTTGAGCCGAGAAATGGAGATAGACATGAGAAAAATGAACAAGAATTGGATGGAACTAGAAAAGAAGGCCCAGGACAGAGTGGGTTGGAGAATGCTGGTCGGCGGCCTATGCTCCATTGGGAGTAACAGGCGTAAGTAAGTAAGTAAGTTGAGCCGTTGTCGGGAACCGCGAGTTGCGTATCAGAAAACGTATAAGGACTTTCTCAGCTTCATGCAATTCTGGAAAACAAACGACTAAACTTCGTTATCAGTATCAAATTCAATAAGTAAATGAAATAGCAGAATTTACCTATAGTGTCTTACTTGTTGTAGTGTTCTTCACATTTCTAACCCTTCTAGAATTCCACCTAGTCATTTGGTATCAACAAAGAAATTGCAGGTGCAAAATAAACGGATTCAAAAACTTTATTAATATGAAATCTGAGAGAAACCCAATTACAACGTTCATAATACTATTAGCAATTCACTGTTTAAATACAATAATGACATAACTGGTAGGCACTATTTGGATATCAATCGTCAATGTGCATTAAAACTTTATTTATAATTTGATCAGTGATTGCGGATCCTGTTTACATAAATTCATTCGTAAACCCTATAAGAGACACATCATAAATTAGGATTAACTGCAAGATGGATAAGTTAGTATTCTCAAAACAAACGTGCATCGCTTTACTTATGAAGAATATGTGACTAATTAGTGTGGCATTTACAGTAATGTTATACACAGTTCCTGTATATGTTCATAAAGCAGGCGGAAAAAGCTAACAACGTCAACTGTTACTCATATAATTTTTCTCAGATACGTTACATAATAATATATCAGTTCAGTTGAAAACGGTTATACTTATAGTGGATAGAACTGTTTATGGCTGTATATTAACAAGTCACATAACATTGATTGCTTCAATCTACATTTTATAAGCAACTACCAACATCCATGTTCGTCACCATCAAATGTAAAAGGTCTTAGAGCCCATTGTCGCGGTCTATTTTTGACTTGATAAATGGCGAATTTCACTTGTCCGAGTTTGCATTGTTACAAATAACCACATTAGGCTGACTAAACACTCATCAAGGTTGTGAGCAACAAATACGTCAAACAACTAATAAACTGGAATAAAAGCTATGTAACAAACACAAACATTATAAAAATTGACGTGAGATGGAAACAAATGGTGTTATTAGCTGATAGATAACGACATCCGAAAACCCCGACAATATGTGACATGTGCGCCCAACGTCCTGACCATGCCTGAACGTACCGTACTGTAATTCGTAGTCAGCGCGTAATAAAGAACAAATACCACAGTAACACTTCAGCTTATGGATGTTCAGTTTTATCATCAGACAGTCTGAAGTTATCATACCAATTCTCTTTTTATGAAACAAATAGTATTGATAGACGTAGTTTTGTCGAAAGAACTCTGTGACACAAGGATGTGCTGTATACTGTTGCAAAACTGTTTTCGGACGTTTATTTAACATTGTTTTAGTCAGGGAACACTAAACGTTTTAACTGACACCATCAAAACTTATATGGCGATCAACAAATATCCTTAAATTTTTAATTCGATAAACCACATTTCTCTGTACAATCAGAGCTCAGGATAGATAAAATTCAGCATTACAACAGATTAAATTTAGATTGATTGTTTTGAAAATTCTGCTGGAGACGCTAAGACAAAGTACGTCGCACCTTAACTTCAATTCAGAAAAAAATTGTTTGGTTGAAATGAAATAGTAACATCGAGAAACGAAATTGAAGATTACTGAACAATTTACGGAGTTACTTGATCGAAGTAGTGAAACATCATATTATCACAACAAATTATTGTTATTCATGTACGAATTACATTAGCAAAAAAGACAAACCGTTGATGTACTTTCGCTGAATACTTTTCAATATATTAACTGTCACCTCTTACAATCTCATTATAAGTAAAGAATGATACCAATAATGTAGCTACAAACATTCGCTAAATATCATATAGAAAGTAAGCTAAGATAAAAAGTTATGGGGGATGACGCTACAAAAAATAAACCCAAGGGAGAAATTTGTACCTGTTATAATTTGCACAATTTATGAGTTAATATCAAACAAATTACTGGCTTCATAAAATTGTGCTAGGTTTTAGTAACTGCTGTAGTGTTTAAATTGACAAGTTTCTGTATTCTCCATTAAATAAAAGTAAACTAATCAGATTCTCGTATATTTCTGAGTGAAATTAAGAGCATATTGCTAGATAGCTTTTATGTTTTGACTTAGTGAAAACTGGCAATGCACTGCTTGAGATTGATTTTAAAAAGTATCTAATGCGCAACCATACAGTTAACATGAGATTATGTTTAGGCTGAATTACAAAAAATACCTGCTCTACAGCAGATTCTGTGCTAATTAACCGGTTAATCAAAAAACAGTACTTTATAGTGCATGATATAATTCAGTACAGCCAATGGTGTCCGTGTAGCTAGATAGCAGTGTCCCCCTAACTCCCGAATTTAAATCTCGACTCAAAGTCTTTTTAAGTCTGTAAACAGAAGTGACAAAAAATCACTGTATTGTAGTTGGTGACAGTTCATGATGAAAACCCTAACCCTAATTCATAATCCTAATACATAAATTTAGAGTAACTACAACCAAACCCTAAGCTCTTTGCATTACAACCGACGTTAGTTGGTGGCGAAAATTCCATAGCATTATAACTTACTCCCAACACCAACCCAACTCCTAATATCTAAACTTAATTTTTTCTTTATGGTAATTAATAGTTTAGCATGTAAGAAGTAACAAACTATGTTAAAACCACTATTCCACTGTAATTTCATTGCTTTTCATTAGTAATTTCTAGTAACTACGCAGTGTTTGAATAGCTTCAAACTATGACTGAGCTCCATATTAGCACAGTAAAAGAGAAAATTATTAAGATGAGAATCAAAGGAATATTAATATTAATAATGATGGCAGTGGGATGATAGAAGTAACGAAAATATACTATGAACTATGTAACTACTCAATTGCTACCAAGTTGATGTACTTAAAATACTGTTGACGATAAAGCCAAACTACTGAAGTGATAAATCCAGGTTAAGGTTTCAATCAGTGTAAAAACCATGGAAAATAAAGTTTCTAAACCATTGAACTACATCATTACAGATAATATATCGGTATTATTTATGAAAAAAATACTAAGCATTAAAAAAGCATCATAATCATTTATTCTGTTGCACCAATGAGCGAAATTGAATGAAGTTTCCAAATTTGTTTGAAAAGTTTACGAAAGCGTGCTTACTACGAAAAGATATCTGTTAGACAAAAGGATTTAGATGAATTTAGAAAATAATGACCATTTTGAAATATGCTATTAATACTGAGTAAAATAACTAAATACACAATATTATGAATTATCGATAAAAATAATTCGCAAGGCTTTCAGAAACAAAGAAAGTAGGCAAAATCAAGTCTCAGTATTATTGTTGATTACACCAAAACATCTAAAAATTTGTACGATACAGTGAAATATTAAATCAATTAGATTGATATTCACACTATACTTATTAATCAAATCTTATTGACATTAAAGAATTTCGGTAATATAACCCTGATTACGATCTACAAATAAACTAGTGCACCGTTGAGAAAATCAAGTTTCAACAAGTGAATTTTCCTAGAAATATCTATATTTAATGTACTGCAAAATAGTTTCAACTATGCACTTTTACATGTAATCAAAGAAAATCCATAAAGAGATAATTCTAGATGAGCACTAATTTCATACACGATTACGTCATAGATACATACAAGGAAATGTTATAAATATAATATTTATCTGATTAGTAGGATGAATAGATGATAGGAACACAAGTAGATAAATCCATATTATCTTAGTTTCCGACAGATGATGAATTCAAAAATGATGTTCGATTAACTGCGCTACCACCGAATTCTACAGCTTGTGAAGTTGCCTGACGTAGTAAAGATAACTGGTCCATTGAATTAGCCAGAAGATTATGTAAAGTGGTTAATTCCATATTAGTCAATTGACTAACTCGTGCTGTCGACGATCCACTAGAGAGGAAACCATTAACAGACGATAACAATTTCCCAACACGAATATCCCATACATCACGAACAATGTTGCGAATACTTTCAGGACTAAAATAATAGTAAAAATTATAAAAGTATGTTTATAAAAACCAGGGAGTGTTTCAGGCATGATATAGGGAACACAAAATGAGATGAGATCTAACATGAAAAGCTGATCACTATTCTTTTTAAAGCAAATGTGCTTAAATTTCACAATAGCCACTTTTAAAAACAAGAATACAGGCAAAATAATGTACAAAACACATTAAATGAAGTAGATGTGTAATATATATCCAACATATTTAGTTTTACTACGATAAACTAGGGTACATATATATATATAAGTAAAACAAAGTTTTCTCACTAACTTCGGTATATCTTCAGCCGCGTGTTGAAGAAGAAGTGTACTAATTTCAATATATTGAGAATGAGGAGGAGAAGTACAACCAGAGTCGTTCTCTTCAGCTTCTTTACACTCATTTAACTTCTCTAACGTTAACCACGCTGGTGGCATAATACGACACTTTTGCTGCCCTCTCAGAAAAAGAGCAACCCATAGAGGGACAACAGTTGGCACATTTGGGAAAAAAGGACCAATCTGGTGATTTAAAAATTAAATGATTTTATAATAGTTGATATTACTTAACATGTTAACTGTAAGTTAGGTCAGAAATAAAGTTAAGAGTACACCACTAATTATATGATCGAGCAGATTCCGTAAGGTTGTGGTATGTGCTACCGATGCCGACAGATATAAGTAGTATGTATCATCAATCGAAAGTGGAATGCCTGGCAACAGAAGGTTGAGGAAATCGAAGAGAAGAAAACAAGGACGGAGAATGATTGGTATGGAAATGAAGGAACAATAAAGTTTAAGAAAATTGATGGACATACTGAAAATAATTATTTACAGTATGGTTCTCAGACTTTACTAAGAGATTAGGTAATTTCGTATTCAAATACGTTTGGTTGTCCCTGCTCTATGCTCTTGTTCACTACACGGTTATCAGAACGAGATTAATACTGCCAATACACGAACCGATAGAAAGTATGATTAACACCCTGAGAGCATTATGTCTCAATAAATCACGCAATGTCGAACAACAAACCCTGGCCTTTGACTGTAAAGAATATATTTAATAAAAATACACCACTCATATATATATCTTTTTTCTTTAATGATTCTCGATTTACTGTAAATGGTTGTAACTTGATTAGAAGTCATACTTAATGAATACATAGCATAGACTTTCGAAGTGTATTAAGAACAAGCAACGGAAAATTACTACATTGCACTTTACAGTTCTTACTGTTTTTCCATGATTTTAAGAATATTCACAAAATATGGGTCACAGTAAGCTCGCTAATTCATATACACATGTGAAATGTGAGGAGCTAACTTCAATGAAGTCGAAAAAGGCAAAAGTAATAACAAAAGTCATCTATAAAAAGAATCTGGCACAAAAGTGCATTAACCCAATTTTCTATACATTATATCAGCACAATGATAGGGAATTAACAAAATGGAAATTAAAAGATTCGAATTAATATCAGTGGTAGTGGAGGGCTAAACACTGGGAATAAATAGTTCAGAAATATGGAAAATCAGAGAATGGAAAGTATGGGATAATATTAGAACTTAATATTTAGAGTAAGATATGAACTTTAAGTAAAACACTAAAATGGATCATCGGAATATAAGCTGACTGTTAACCATTAATTTTTTTTAAAATAACATTACATACGATAATTAATAAAGTTTTTATTTATATTTTATAAGACACAACTAGCAAAACGACAAACCATAAGTTCTCAACGGTGAAGTCAATGATTAACAAGAAAATGTCTTAAAAATCTAATATTTGAAGTTTACATAAACTTTAAAACTTACAGTAGTATTTAGCAGCTTAATAGCATCAAGTTTAAACTTAGGTACTATGGTCAATCCTTCCTCTTCTGAAAGAAATTCAAGCTCCGCCGGATTCATTTAAGTAAATTAATTATGCCTAAATAGAAATTATATATATATACGCTTAAAAATAACCAGAAAGCTGATGGATAAAAATTTATATCGATCACTAGACAGTATGAAAAAGACTGCACTACCCAGTTCACTACGAAGAAGCTACTAGTCTTCCGTTTAGAAGCATTTATAGGCAATAAAACATTACTACTCAGTCTTACAAATAAATTAAGGAAAATGATGCAGAAAATAATTTCGGCAGCGAAAAAACAGATTTGCACACAATGAAATTAAAACAAATGGTCATCAACTAAAGACTACAACATGTATTACGAGGATTTCAAACAGCTTTAGACTGCTATCTACTCTGACTGGTTTATCAACTTACATACCCACGTTCATAAAGTTTTCTTTTCGATTAAACTCCAACAAGTCATATCAAATGTCACAAGGTTGTTACTAGCTAGTAAAATCCAACGTGTCACTATTTAACTGGTCCTACAACTATGTTATCACTAATTCAATAGCAAATCAAGTGGGGCATGCATATTAAACTATCAACGCTTACAGTCTATCTCTGTGAGTTCAAGGTATACTGGTGTTAGGTATTTCAAATTCAGGTAGCCCTGGCACTCTACCCTCGTATAGGTTTCTGGACACTCCAATCTCTCTTATGAGTCCGTCAGTCAACTACAACGTAGGACCAGGCACATATATGCATCGGTCTAAGTTACCATACCTCATTAGCACAAAAAGATGAACAGCAAATTCATAGAAATAGTCACTTCAATGGCAGTAATGTATAAAAGAAAGATTGTGTATAAGGATATAGTATAGGAAGAAAGAACTAGTTGATGCAATAAAAGATATAGAGCGATTTTAATCTTACGGTTTAAGGGAGGACAAAGAGTGTATACACCGACGCCACTGTGACCGATTCTGAGTCATGTCACAGAGTCTCCAACCATTGGTTACGACAGTCACGCGTACCCCAAACCAGTAGTCTGCGTCTACCAACATGGCTTAGACCAGAAGTCAGTGACTTCAAGGACTGATGCCACGTTTTGGTTTGGCCAACTCTAACTTTCTTCCAACCGTCTCCAGAACTAGTCAGCATTGCGTGTCGTGGTAATCGGTGTTCAGGCATACGTAATACGTGGCCCAACCACCTCAGTCGGTGAAGATTTACAACCTCATCGACTAATTTTCCATCGTTCCCTAATACCCTGTGTTCAACCTCAATATTACTTACCCGGCGATCCCAGCAAATGCGAGCAATATTTCAATGACATCCGTGATCAAACACTAGTAACTTACGAGTATCTCTTACTCTTGATGGCTACGATTCGCAGCCTTAAAGTAGAACAGAACAAAATGCTGAGTAGCATACTCGTCCTTGTATCGATGGACAGATATCTTTCCTTCACTTTAGTTGACGTAAGTTGGTAAAAGCTAAACGATCTTAATGAATCCATGCGGAGATTTCGTCAGACACCAACCTATTAGCACTGATCAGCCTTTCATTATAAGTGAAGTTGTCAACGCGTTCGACTACTTCACTCCCTATCCTTAGTTCACGTGTTGACGCATGCCGGTCCTAAAACAACAACTTGCATTAAGAGGGGGGAGAAGCGCATTCCAAACATTCTGGCATTGTTGCTTAGTGCTACCAAAAGACTCTGCATTTTGTCAGCATCTTCACCAAACAGGAATATGTTATCTGCGTATTCTAAGTCGTTAAGTGGACCTGCTGGAAGGAGATCAATGCCCGATAATTCAGTCGACGAGAACGTTATTTCCATCAGTAGGTCTATGATGAAGTTAAACAAGAATGGAGAAAGTGGACAGCCTTGACGGACACCACTTGAGGTTGCAAAATTAGATGACAGTTCGCCATAAGCTCTGAATCTACTGGTAGTGTTCGAGTAAAGAGCCTTTACAAGGTTTATGTACTTCTGAGGTACACCTTTCAATGACAGACACTGCCACAGAACCTGTTGGTCTACAGAGTCAAATGCTGATTTCAAGTAAAGTCGGACGCCGATAAGCATGCCTGTGTTTTAGAACCTGACGAATGGTAAATATGCGGTCGATGCAGCCACGACTAGATCTGAAGCCAACCCGATTTTTTTCTGTTTGCACTTCACGAGTCTGTTAGGAGCCCGATAATTATTAAGGCTAGTATTTTAGATGCTATTTTAGTCAAACTAATCCCTCTATGGTTATCACAGGATGATTTTAACCATTTCTTATATACTGGGACAATCAATGATTGCGACCAGTCAGATGGGATTACATTCACTTCCTAGATTTTAGCTAAAATATTAGTCAACCTAATCGCTAAATTTGGACCACTATATTTAAAGACCTCTGGAGCCAATCCATCTGGACCAGCTGCTCTTCCTTGTTTCAGATTAGCTATAGCCATTTGGATTTCAGCTAGAGTTGGGGGGACCTACTTCAATGTTCCATTCAGGCTGTCTGATAATTGTGGGTATTTATAGAGTAGCTGAAGGCCAGCTAAACTGTTCTTCAAAGTGTTTCGCCCATCGTTCTAAACGTCTGGACTGAAAACAGATAAGTGTCGTATTTTCGAGATCGCCTCACACGTGACTTCTTAATTCCAGTTTCTTTTATTAGTCTGAAGAGCTGCCTTGTATTACCTACAGCTGCTGCCTTTTCCATCTATTTTGCTTCGTTACTCATCACTGCTCACAATCGTTCTTTAGATTTTTGTTTAACTCATATCTGACTTGTTTTCGCTCTCATCGAGCCTGATGGGATGAGTTTACGAGAATTTATCAGTGCAAAAGACTTAGCGAAAATCCGCTGGTTTTTTGTGACCCTTTGGTTCAAATCAGTAATAGATGTCACTGCTGTTTCCACAGATGTTTGTATATCTTTACAAGCAATATCTGAGTCAGCCTAGTTCTCAGAACTACCAAAGAGTGACCTCAGCTGTTTCTGGAATCTACTTTTGACTTCCTAGTCAATGAGTTTGACTCCCTTATCACAAAGCAAGTTTATCATACCTATGAACGTATATAAGTAAAATCAACAAAGGTTGGATTGTTACCTTCATCTTCTGTCTCAGTGCCTGTCAGTAGTGACATAGAGGACGAGTAAGTTATACTTGGAATTTACGTCGGTGTCATACATTTGCAAAAGGACATGCAGTTTTACGAAAACTAATTTTCGCCGTGTCCGATTCAACCGTTAATGTCCTGCAAATTATTTCAAGCTGAAAATCGGACGGACGTGATGTTTGTTCCCAAAAGTTCATCATCGGATTATCGAGTTTACAGTTCCTTCTGTCAACTGAAGAGTAATTAGGGGCATTTGAAACGTCTTTAACAAGATTTGAGGGATAAATTTGTAGGTACGTTTATTTATTCCGTAATTCTTTAGCATTTTTATCACCCAGTGTTATAAAAAAGATTCTGAAAAAGTTTGACATCATAACACTAAGTATTTTCCATGACATTTGAGATAAACTAAATAAGCGTTATCATAGATGGGAGGACCATGTACGTAACATCTTTCGGAAATAAATTTCCATTTCCATTCTATAGATACACGGAACTATTTCAGCAAATATTGCTGTAGGTCTCACTTTATATTGTCATGCATTAAATATAAACATATTGAAATACGTCACTACAAGAGCTTTTATTCAATTTTAGAATCTACTTAGCAACCTTAAAGGCCCGCAATGACGACGCAAAAAAGTAACTCCGAGTTTGTGTAATTGCTCATGCTGTATTAAGAATCTAATAAACTGATTATTATACATACATCTACTTTTCCAAGGCAGTGTGCTTCCATAGAGACAAGTTTGACCTACATGGTAAAGGTGTAATTTTTCATCTCGTTAATAATGGGATCTTATTACTTCTTAATCATTTTCTTAATAAACCACGAAGTTACTGGTAACTCTTTTTTTCGGATTTCTGTTCACCATAATCATATTTAAACTCCCAACTTTAGGGAAAATTTCGTCAATTTTGGGGAAATCATAATTTACAAGTCTTAGTCACACCAGATGGGATGTGGTGATAGAGTAAATTCTGGAGTTACAGAATGCAGAGACTCGATGTTTTTTACTACTGGACTCAATAAAATAATTATATCAAATGGAAAGCCTGATTTTGTCTACCAAATAAAAGACGGAGGCAGAAATATGTTTCCACCTTACACTAACACTTCTGATCACTGAATCATTCGCTTCTGGAAGCATAGGTATTTTTAAATGTTCAGTAGGTAGCCACGAGTGTACGTGGATTACTATGGCCCCCAAATGCCTTGGTACGGTCGACGGCGGGAAGAGTCCGCTCTCCTTTTTAAAATGCTCTCACATGGCCACGCGTATACAGCCACTGCCAAGGAAGTCATACTCACTGCCTTCTCGCGGCAGGGGTGGTTTTTACTTAATTGAGAAGACGAAAAACGAACATCTGGCACTTTAACCGTATTGGTAGATATGGAGGATCCACCTGAGGGAGTTGGAAAACCATGATGGCAAACCAATGGTGAACATGGGCTCCAGGATCCTAAGGTAAAAAATGACGCATGAACTTATTTTTCGGTCACCGGCTACCACGGGACTGCATCTCCCAATGTTGCTCCACTGCCTTGTGGATTAGACCTCTAGGTCGAAGGCTCGGGGAGTGACCCCCTACAAAAACTACTTGCTTCGGCTTGGGCGCCCGGGAAGTATTTTAACCCTCATACAAGTCGGATGACGAAGTGGTGCATATATATTTGGTGCCTCCTTCTACTAGTGTTTTTTTAAATAAACAAGTAACATAGCCAGACGATACGCTGCCAAGTCTACCGGAAAAACCTAGGACGTAATTATGTGCAATAAAGAAGAGTCGACAGAGCAGCAAAACAAAAATACGACTGTTTACACACCTCGGAAAAACTAGAAGCTGCTGAGATGGATGCTGTATGTATACCAGTTTAGTTTACGGTTGTCAACATGTTGACTGGTAACTTCGCACCAATAGTTAAGTATACACTAA